CCACCCCACCCTCAGTCGGGGCACAGCTGCCAGGCAGGTGAGTGGCCCAGTGGGCAGCGGGAGGCACCGCCAGCTCCTCTCCCATGCCTGGTCCTGCACGTACGTCTGCCTCTCTCCCCCGGGCAGCTCTCCGCTTGGCTCTCAGTGTCCTCCGGGGGCCAATGGGCTTCTTGATTCCAGGCTGCACATCTGGAAGTTGATGCTATTAAAACAAACCCCATTATATAACAAACAGACATCTGGAACCCGTTAACGCCGAGCTTTTAGAAAAAGAAATTGTTTTGGATGTGCTCTCTCCTAAGAATGTGGCAAGGAGCCCTCACCCTGGCTGTCCAGGAACCTACCGGCCAGGCAGCTCCTCCTGGGCCCGTTTCTCAAGGTATCTCAGGCCAGGCCAGAGGTGGGCCCGGGGAAGAGGCGGGGACAGACTCCGCCCCACCGGCCCGGCAGCTTCACCATCTCCTGAGGGCTACGGCCTTGGAATGCTTCTTTCCAATTTCATTCAAATATTTATTCAGCACTTGTGTACCTACTATGTGCTGCTAACTCCATACCATTCACATGCCCACCCTAACACCCCGCCCCAAGCCTGATTTCTCCATGATGGCTCAAGAAAACAGATCATGGACTGCCCTGGGTGCTAAACAGCCATGCTTTAACAACTCTGCACCTCTGTTTCCTTGGACGCGGAGCCTGAACACCTAAGCTAAGTCTCCAGAACTCCCTAGCCCCCTCAGGCCTCTCCCTGGATTGTCGTCCTCCCCTTCCTCCTTGGACCAGGCGGGCTGGGGCTAAAATACTGAGGGGGCATTCATCCACAAATGATGGCATGGGGCTGTGGTAGTTCCCTCTATGAGTGGACCTTGATCTAGCAATGAGGATGCTTTATGAGAAATGTCTGGCTAATATTTTCAAGTGGAAATTTTATTCTTTTAATATTTTTTCCCCAATATTTTGTGATGAAAAATTTCAAACATACAGAAAAGTTGAAAGAACTGTACATGAACACCCACATGAAACCACCACCTAGATTCTGCAGTTGTTAACACACTGCTGTATCTTTCCATCTATTTACTCCTCAGTCAATTCAAAAGCAGTCTACAGGCACCACTATACTATTCCTCTAAACACTATGCTTGCATATCATTAACTAGAAATCAATATTTGTGTTTGGTTTTCTTTGAGGTGAAACTGACATTCAGTGAAATGAACAAGTCTGAATGTAAGATTCCAGCAAGTCTGACAAACGCAAATACCTGTGTGACCCAAACCCCTATTACCATAGACAATTCACCATCAGCCCCAGAACTTTCACCATGGCCCTGCCCAGTCAAGCCCCATGTGTCACTCCTCCCAGAGACAACCACTGTGCAGGTTATTCTCACCGTAGATTAGGTGTTATGGGCTGAACTGTGTTTTCCCAAAATTCATAAGTTGAAGCCCTAGCCCCAGGACCTCAGAATGTGGCTGTATTTGGAGGTAGGACCTTTAAAGGGGTGATGAAGGTAAAATGAGGTCATATGGGTGGGCCCTGATCCAGTATAACTGGTGTCCTTAGAAGAAGAGATCAAGACACACATATGCCCATGAACGGAAGAAAGACCACATGAGGACACAGGGAGAAGATGGCCATCTACAAGCCAAGGAGAGAGGCCTCAGAGGGAACCAACCCTGCCCAAACCTTGATCTTGGACTTCTAGCCTCCAGAACTGTAAGAAAATAAATTTCTGTTGTTTAAGCCTCCTAGCCTGTGGCAGTCCCAGCAAGCTAATACATCAGCTTTGCCTTTTCTAGAATTTCATGCACTATGTATTCTTTTGTGTCTGCCTTATTTTACCCAGCATAAGGCCTTTGGGATTCATCTATATTGCTACATGAGTAAGTACTGTTTTCCTTTTCGTTGCTGAGCAGTATTCCATTATATAAACATTCTAGTTTGTTTAGCCAGGGCAATTTATTTTTTAATGACAGAAGAATTGTTTTATAACGTTTCTCTCTATTGTATGTTTTTTTTTTTTTTTCTGTACGCGGGCCTCCCACTGTTGTGGCCTCTCCCGTTGCAGAGCACAGGCTCCAGACGCGCAGGCTCAGCGGCCATGGCTCACGGGCCCAGCCACTCCGCGGCATGTGGGATCTTCCCAGACCGGGGCACAAACCCGTGTCCCCTGCATCGGCAGGCGGACTCTCAACCACTGTGCCACCAGGGAAGCCCTATTGTATGTTCTTTATGTCATCCCAGCAACAGAGAAGACGTTCCACAGCTAGCCCTACTCAGAAGGGAGCTTTAGAATAGTTCTAAAGTCTAATCATCCTGAAATGTATATAAAACACATTATACTTCCTGAAGTGAAAAGTTCTTAGAGATGAGATTAAAGAAGTAGTGCATCATTTTTATCTCAGTGAGTACAGATGAGCCCATCCAGAATGCAGTTTACCTGTTTGGTTAATGACACTGGTTTTGGTGTCGGGAGCTTCGGGTTTGAGTCTTACTTGCTGTGTGACCTTGGGCAAATCACTGAGCCTCATTTTACTCACCCAAGAAAAGAGGCCAATGATCCCATCCCTAAGGGTTGCTTGAAGACTGAATGAACTAGTGAGTTCAGGGTGTTCCCAGTGGCTGGAAAGACTAAGGACTTAGGAAGCGTTCCCTGTTGTGATTTGTCCCAGTCAGCAGCCGTCAGAGCCAGAACTCTCTCGTGATAGGGCAGCAAAAGTAGATTTCTAGGCCACAAAGGGTAGAAAATGAGCTTCCTGCACTGGCACATATAATAGCTGGGACCCAGGAGCAGGGTGGTGAAGACCATATCAATGTCAGATCAACAAGCTGTTGAGGTCGATTAGGCTGATGCAATCACCACAGAAGTGATGCTTTCAGAGTTTCATAAAACACACTGTGAATTCTGGGATCCAAAAAGTGCTTCCAGTATGCTCAAGTCTTACACATGTTTGGCCATTTCTATTGCTTATTTTGTTCTGTCTGAATGGGGCAGTTCAAAAATTTGTTTCACTTGGTCATGATTTTTTCTAGGGAAGTGCAAGTTTAAATCTGATAATCTAGAAACCCATCTTTTATAATAGATTTTAATTGAATATTTTCCTTCTGACCCAGCAGGAGAAATACATAATCCAAATGGCTGTCATTTTATTTTATTTCCGAAGTTCTTTTTCCTCCTGAAAAAAAATTTATTTTTCAACTTTAAAGTCCTTAGGAATTATTTTTTTGGTGTAATTTATCCACTCTGCCCCAAGTGGTTTTGAAACGTTCATAATTCCTCTCAGATGATCTTTTCTGGCTTTTAAAGACAAAGAAAATATCTATAGTTTCACTTTGAAGCTCTTGAGAAAAAATTCCTGGGAGCTTACCGTGTGGTAAAGGAATTTAAAATAAAAAAGATACATTCGGATTTGGAAACAGGGCTGTCAATTGGACCCACCGATTACCTGCAGAATGAGAAGGATCATTTACTACAACTTCCTACGCCCTCATGGGATCTCAGCGTTGTCCGTCACCCATCACCGCTGCAGGTGTGTTTAAGAAATCCCCTTCCTCCTGCGCGTTTCATGAGCACCCTGCTTCCAAAGGTTTGCAAAACTCTTTTGGTAGGTACATCATGCTATGCCAAAAACAGAACTGAGAGCCTCTGACAGCCTTTCCTTTCCTCACAAAACTTCAGTATCACCAGACCCCAAAGATGTACAGAAACCCCCCAGACTTTCTGCTACCAGCCAGGTTTCTTGGCCTTCCCCAATCAATAGAAATTGACTAGAGGCCAGACAAGAAATTCATGCAAGGCTTTGTTGGGGCCCCTGCTGCAGCAGATGGGCGAGCAATCAACAGGTTCCCTTGCTTGTTCTCCTCCTGAGGGGAGGCAAGCTTATTTCTTATACGGGGTGAGGGTAGGGGTGTGTCCAGGGGTCGGGCCAGAGGGGTGGCTTAGGTGTTTTGCCCACCCCTTAGAGGGTGGTGTGTGCAGGGGGCACGCACAGTACCCTGCTTTTGCTCCTGACACGCTGTTTTTGCTCCCGGGCTCTTCAAAATTGGCAGTTGGGTTTTTTGGTCTCTTTGTATCTTTTAGGTCCAGAATTTGCCCCAACTGCTCATGCACGCAGTTAATTTTAGTCCCGAACAGATTCTTTGTATTTTGTTGCTGGAGGAGAGGTGTGTCCAGGTGCAAGCACCGCTGCAAAGGGGCCCACGTCCCAGCAAAGGGTCCCAGGTCCCAGCCTGTCGCATTTCCATACCACTCAGTATCCACACATTCAGATGTCCTCTCATAGACCTAGTAGTGCATTTTATTCAAGTCAATTCCGTTTGGTTGCTTTTCCTTTTTCTGATATATTTTTATAACGCTGCACGAGATGATTGATCCCAGTCATCTCTTCAACAGCCATGAAACCTGAGAACCTCTCTTTTTTTTAATTAAGCCTCCTGGATTAGGACCGCCCTCCCTCCCAACTCCAAAAGTGCTACTACAGCAGAGCTCAAGGTCAGTCAGCAGCCAGGCCTGGCCAAGAGGGCTGGCTCCCTGCGGGCTGGACAGTAGGGACCCACAGCAGAGACAGCCTTGGGTGAGAATCAGGTCTGCTTGGTTCCGGGGGAGGGCTTGGATCCGCCAGAGAGCCGGGGCCGGCAGCTTTGGGTGCTCCTGGGAGGACCTGCGGAATCCCTCCCGGTCCCTGGGGACACAGAGCAGTCCCTTCTGGGGCATCACAAGGCACAGCCAGCCTGTCTGTTGGACCTGAGCCCTGGGGGTGATTAGAGCTGCAACAAGGCAAGGGGATAAACTTCCCTCTTGGTACTGCATTTGCAGCATCTCGTACGTCTTGGTATGTTGTGTTTTCAGTTCTGTTTGTCTCAGGATATTTTTTTAAAATTCCCTTTTGATTCCCTGCTTGACCCAATAGTTGTTCAAGAGTGTGTTGTTTAGTTTCCACGTATAAGTGAATTTTTGTTTTCTTACTGTTACTGATTTCTAGTTTCATTCCATTATGGTCAGAAAAGATGCTTGGGATCATTTCGGATGAATGGATAAAGAAAATGAGGTCTGTTCATACCATGGAATATTACTCAGCCTTTAAGAAGAAGGAAATCCTGCCGTTTGAGACTTGGCTGAACCTGGTGGGTATGACGCTAAGTGACACGAGCCAGACAGAGAAGGACAAATACAGTATGATCTCACTTACATGTGGAATCTAAAAATGTTGAACTCAGTAAAGCAGAGAATAGAATGGTGGTTGCCATGGGCTGGGGGGCAGGGGGGAGATGTTGGTGGAGGGGTGCAAAGTTTCAGTTACACGGGATGAATCAGTTCTGGAGGTCGAATGACAGTGTATGACTATAATGAATAATACTGTATTCCGTACTTGAAATTCACTAAGAGAGTTGCTCGTAAGTGTCCTCACCACCACCAAAAAAGCTGTGTGAGGTGATGGATGGATGAATTAGCTTGACTGTAGTATAATCATTTTACAGTGTGTACGTACATCAAAACGTCACGCTGTATATACCCGAAGTATATACAGTTTCTGTCTGTCAATTCTGTCTCAGTAAAGCTGGGGAAGATGTGGAACTTAATAAATTTTATATTGAAGTTTGGGGAGCAAAGCAAAGACAAAGGGAAAATAGGCACCCGAAGGAAACCAACAGCCGGGAGTAAGAGCCTGCAATTTGCTCAGAATCACAGGAGTCAAACCACAACCTGCACAACCACATGGAAAAGAAAAAACAATAAGAGCATTAAAAAAAAAATCAGATGTGAAAGAAAACACTTTCTTGAAGTAGGAAACATGATTTTAAATTTAAAACAAGTTGGAGGAGAGGATGAAGACTTGGGAAACCAAATGGAAGAGAGAATGCAAAACACAAAGCAAAAATAGCAAACAGAAATCATGCAGGGAAAACCCAGAGCCTAGGAGGAGAGAGACCCAGGAGACATCATATGGGAATAATACAAAGCCTAGAAGGAAAAAAGCAACACATGGAGGAGAAACCATAATTTTAAAACGAGGAAGAAATTTTTCCGTGGTTTGAAGACAGACTTGGGTTTGAAAGGGCTCGTGGAGTTCCAGGCAGGAATGATGGAAAAAATCAGACATCTAGGCATAGCCTGGGAAGATTCCTGAATTCCATGATTAAAGGGAAAACTCTTATGAGCTTCCCGAATGAGAGAACAACTTAAGAGAATCAGCCTGGAACCACACATTTTTAAAGTTAGAAAAGAGAAAAGCATCCTGCGCCAGCCAAGGTACCCTTTACATACCTGGGATGGAAGATGCTCAAAGGTCCAGAGACTCTCCCTGGACCCCGCGGAAAATGCCTGACAAAGGAATCTAATCAGGTAATAAAAGAGCCAGCTTGGAGATGAGGTGAAGAAAAGAGGAAGCCATCCATGGTAGCTGAGAAGCTACCAATTTATGTATAGTTAGCTCCAAATGGATAATGACAGATGAGATGGAATTTGTAATATAAGCACTAAATAAGTTAAAAAACGAAACAAAACAAAACAGAAGAGAGATGCGATAAGACCCATTGCTAACCTACAACCGAAAGTGCTGGATTACCTTGGCAAAAGGTAGGAGTTGAGGAGGGGGGAAAGGGCCAGCAAAAGCATTTAAAATATTTCTTATTGGGTGGGGGAGAAGGAAGAAGGAAAAAAGAGACCCTGGGTGGGAGGAATTGATTGGTGCTTTGTTGACATATAATAGAAAGTGGTTTTTTTTGTTGGTTGGTTGGTTTGTATTTTATGAAAACCAGAAAAGGAAAGGTCAGGACCGTGGAAGGCAACATACAGTAAAGCTTCCAAAATGAGAAAGCAAAAGAGGAAAGACCAGCATCTATTGTCAGTTGTTCCATCTGTTCCTTTTTTTTAATTAAAAAAAATATATTTTATTATGGAAACTTCTAAACACACACTACAAGAGAGAGAATAAGACAAGGACTCTCCATGGACCCACTCCAGGGTTCAATACTCATTTTTTTTTAAGCTGGGGAAATTTGATTATCACAAACCCTGTACCATTTCAGTTTTTAGTTTTCCCAGCAGTTTATTTAGAATTTGCACACTTTTGTAGAAACTGGCACTCCTCCTCAATGATCAAAACATTTCTTCTCCTTTAGTTCTTATTCTGATCTCCAAGAACTCCAAAAGTACACCGTCAGAAAAAGACAAGGCACGGTCTTTTCCTGGTAAATATTTTAGCTTCTTCAAGATTGACTTTTTTATGACAGAAAACTGGCAAACACAAAATGCTAAATCTTTCCGATTTCCAAGATTTAAAAATCCTGAAGTTTGCACAAAACTTGTGGATTTTTTTGACAGGCTATATTAACCCGTGTTTACCTTCACTAAGTAAGTGACACTTGGCTTGGAATGGTATCAATCACTCGATTTGGGTGCTAGGTGTTAAGGATTCTGGAAAACTCTGTACCATCACTTAACTCCCTGGATAGCCTCTAGATCCTTGGTGGAAAATGACAACAGACTGCACTTAAAATAATCACAATTACCAAGAAAGAAACCACAGCCAACGTTGGTTAAGATGTCAAAAAGTGAAGAAGAATGAAAAATGTTTGCAAGCACGGAGCTAGGCAGGCCGGGCGGTGGGCAGGCTGACGACACCAGCCAGGTAGGAAGGGCCACGGAAATGCCAGCACCAGTTGGGTGGTTCCCAAACATTCCTATTTTCCTTTGTTTTTTTCTTTTCTTTCAAGTTGAAAACCTGTAGGGTTTTTTGGGGTTTTTTTTAACATTGCCGCAAAACATATAGCAAAGCCGTGTTTACTAATTTACACACCTGGTTTCAGGTGCTTTTTGAAGGCACTGTCATGTTTCTGCTGATTCTAAATTTGTTTTCCTCTGGGAACCTGGGTGAGGGAGCACCCAACCTTTAGGCCCTCAGGTCCCTCCTCCCCAGATCTGCACTCACAGCCCGGGATAAGCCCTATGAGCCTCGGTTTGGGCCCCGCCCTCCAGCTGTGGAGGGCTGAGGTCGGTGGAAAGTCACTGGGGCCTGGCGGCCACTGCACACCCTGTGATCCAGACTCTCCAGGGCCCTTTCCTTGCCACCCTTCCTCAAACCTGCACTTCTCGTTGGCCCTGCCTAAACATTCCTCCATCCTCACCCCAAATCCAGGGGGAGAACCTCAGCTGCCATTTAGCACGAGGAGCTCCTCCGCCTCTCCCCGCTGCACCTGCAGGTGCCCTGCTTCCCGCACCCCCCTGGCCCTCCTCTTCCATCCTCTTCCTTGGGCCTGGGTCCTGTCCCTTTGGGGGCCTCGCTCCCCTTCCTCTGGGCCTCCAACCTCTCCCTCTACCTGGCTACTTCCCCCACAGGCACCGTCTCCACTCCTCACCCCTTCATCCTGTTTCAGCCCAGCTTGGTCCAGGCCAAGGGCCCCACTGCCCTCTCGTTTGGTCAGGAAATCCAAGCCCTCACTTGTTGCTATTCTGAGTCTCCTTCCGAAAATGTCTCCCCTCCTGGTCTCAGCTGGCATCTCTCCCCACTCCCCACTTTCAAGTTCCTTCTGTTCCTCTGACCTCATCTTTCCTTTTTTTTTTTTTTTTTTTTTGCGGTACGCAGGCCTCTCACTGTTGTGGCCCCTCCCGTTGCGGAGCACAGGCTCCGGACGCGCAGGCTCAGGGGCCATGGCTCACGGGCCCAGCTGCTCCGCGGCATGTGGGATCTTCCCGGACCGGGGCACAAACCCGTGTCCCCTGCATCGGCAGGCGGACTCTCAACCACTGCGCCACCAGGGAAGCCCTGACCTCATCTTTCTTATCTCCTTCACTGACTCTTGTTCCTCGGTTTTTACCTTAAACGTCCCAGCTGTCTTTTCACACCACACAGACTCCTTTGGAGAGGGATCTCTTCATTCCCATGGTCTTAACTTTTGCCAATAGTTAACTTCTCTCCAATTTTGGACCAACCAGATCAGGCAGGTTATGAACCTTCAATTTGTTTTTGTTATGAAAACTTTTTTGTGGGGGTGCGGGGGGAAGTCTTCATTTCCCCCTGTATTAGGAGCCATCAGCCCCTTCCGGGGAGGGTGCCCCTCCCCAGGACAGAGTGTAGTCATCTCCTACCTCCTCCTGGGAATGCCACCCACCTGGACCTTGGGTGTCTAAAGTCAGAGCCCTCCAGGTGGGGGAAACCACTTTTTCTGTTGCTGACGATTTGGGTTCTGGATATGATGGGCAATCATGGCTCTTCCTTATTATGGGAAAAGGAGAAGGAAGTTTGGGGAGGAGAGAGGGAGGGAGAGACTCGGGGGGAGAGCGGGGAGAGGGGAAAGGATGGGGACACAGTGACCCGCAGCAGAAAGGGTGAGTGGTGGTAGAGCACTTGCCTGGGAGGTGCCAGCTCAGTGGAACAAAGGGCGGCTCGGGGCCTCAGCCAGCTGCCCAGGTAGAAGGAACCCTCACGACCTCTGACCTGGTGCCCTCCCCCCCAGTATCTGGGAGGAGTGAGGTCCCCAGGACCACTAATTGGCCACCATCCATGTGGGATGGTGTGTATGGGGGGGCTCTGATCTTGCCCTAGGGGCACACAGTCCCCCACCTCAGCTGGGAAGGAGCAATGGACAAACAGGACACCCAACTCCTCCAGGGCACCTGCAGGCACCTCCAAGTCAAGGTGACTGCCCTCCACACTTTTGTCTCCTCTCTGCCCTTGTCACAGCAAAAAAGACCCCCAAGCCGGAAAACTGGAGTCCTCCTGGAGCCCCTCAAAAGTCACTGAGGCTCCCTGTTCTCCTAACCCTCCCGGACGCTTTCCACGCTCTTCCATCCATTTTTTTTAAAATTTATTTTTGTCTGCGTTGGGTCTTCATTGCTGCGCGCGGGCTTTCTCTAGTTGTGGCGAGCGGGGGCGACTCTTCATTGAGGTGCGCGGGCTTCTCATTGCAGTGGCTTCTCCTTACAGAGCACGCACGGGCTTTAGGCACGCGGGCTCAGTAGTTGTGGCTCACGGGCTTAGTTGCTCCGTGGCATGTGGGATATTCCCGGACCAAGGATTGAACCCGTGTCCCCTGCATTGGCAGGCGGATTCTTTTTTTTTTTGCGGTACGCGGGCCTCTCACTGTTGTGGCCTCTCCCGTTGCGGAGCACAGGCTCCGGACGCGCAGGCTCAGCGGCCATGGCTCACGGGCCCAGCCGCTCTGCAGCATGTGGGATCTTACCGGACCGGGGCACGAACCTGTGTCCCGTGCATTGGCAGGTGGATTCTTAACCACTGTGCCACCAGGGAAGTCCCTATTGGCCATTTTTATTTCTTCATTTGTGAATTATCTCAGTACTTTGCTCATTTATCTATTATCCACAATACGACTAGTTATTTTATTACAAAAGTAACTAAAAAGTAATGAAGACATTGTAAAATAGATTAGAACATTTGAATATTTATAGTGTTTTATAACATGCTGTTTAAATAACTCAATCCAATACATTGAGAATATCTTTCTATGTCAACCAGTGTATATCTAAGCCATCATTTTTTTTTTACTTTTTTTTTTTTTTTCGGTTCGCGGGCCTCTCACTTTTGTGGCCTCTCCCGTTGCGGAGCACAGGCTCCGGACGCGCAGGCTCAGCGGCCATGGCT